TCTATATTTATATCCTTTAACGGTCTATAGGTAATTGTCTTAGGTGCATGTTTGATTTTATTAATATTCAATTCACAAGTTAAAAATGCATGACTGCAAAGATCAGGAATATAATTGACGGTTACGTTATAAAGAGTCATGTTAGAACAAATTACAACAATCAATGTTTCACTATGATCATGATATGTCATTTTTAAATTCGTATCTCTGGCCACCTGTGTTCTAAATTTGAATTTGTTGGCGTGAAAATTTTATTGATTTTTTGTCATTTGAAAATATATTTCGTCAACTGTTTTCAAAATGGATAAAATTGAACAAAGAGCGGTGATAAAGTTTCTTCATATGAAGGGTATGAAGGGGAAAGATATCTATGACGAGTTAAAGAATGTTTTGGGTGAATGTGCTCCTTATGCCACAGTAAAAAACTGAGTGGCTGAGTTTAAACGCGGTGGTATATGTGTCCAAGATGAAGCCCGCCCCGGACGTCCAAAAAGCGTCACGACTCCGGAAATGGTCGTGAAAATACAAGATATGGTTTTAGCAGATCGACGATTGAAGTTATCTGAAATAGCTGACGCTACAGGTATCTCACAAGAACAGGTACATCATATCCACAAACTAGTAAGAAGTGCTAGCGCAATCATATCCTACGTGAGGATCATTGAGTTATATGTACTACGTACTAGAGAAGCCATTCTAAACAAAAATTGAAGTTTCAGTTTTTTAGTTCGGAGATGGCGTTCTTCTCTCGGTAGAGAGTAATTGTGTTATGTTCTGTGGCTAGCATTTATTTGTGATGTGGAATATTATAACTAAAATTAAATTATAGGGGTGTCCACTTTGAAAATACATCGATGTTTTTTTTTTCGATGTAATATATCCAGATTGTATATCGATTATTCCGATGCATCATTTAAAAACATCGATGTTTTTTCAACATCAAGTACCTTTTCTGACTTTACATTATAAATCTGTAGTCATTCAAACAACAGCCAATTTTCTGAAAATCTAGTAGAATAGTAGTAGATCAGATCTACTACTCTTACACAGCATTGTCTTAGCCGCACGCTTTTTGTGAGTGTGTGTATATGTTCAAGGATGTTAGATAGACAGATATTCTTTATTGCACGAAACACAGAGTATCTTAAGAACTAATATATTGTTAACAGACCTATATATTCATAGTTATTTATATGTACTATTTGTATGTTGATGTGTATATATGTACGTATATATTTGTACATATCTATAAATAGGAGATATTTCTATAGTTTATTTACTTTATACATTAGAAAAATGTATATTATATAACTTAGTTGCTTATCATTTTTATTTTTTTTTCTATACTGCTACACAGCTACACCTATGTCAAATTCTCACCACTCCATGAGTAGACTGGTGGGAGGATGCCTCAAGGCTTTAATTCCGCCCTTTGTATTCTTTTATATTAAGGAATTCAATAAAGAATAAATAAATTATCTGCTCAATTTTACTTATGACAATTTATCAGCCTTTTAACTTTAACTAGAGGCCGCACTGTTTTCATCTTATGCAGCTTCTAGCTAAAATTATCGGTATGGTTATTTGTTTTTACAATTAATATGAATTTAAATAAAATACTACGTATCTTGTATCTAAGCAAGATATTACTATAAAATTATTAAATATTAATAGTCCTTATCGAAAATATATATTAAATATAAATAGTTTTGCTCGTTTTCACATACGGTACGGCATTTTGGAGTGTTTTAAGGACGCGTTTGCAAAATTGGTAGGTATAGAATCGCAATCAAGTAAAAACATTTTGATAATTTGAAAGGATGAATTTTTTTCTCATTTCTTATACCTACAAAAATATACTTACATACGAAATTCGAATACCTACTCCAGAGACTGCTAGGTACTGGAAGCCCTCTACTTAACAGTGAGATATTCGCTGTGGACTTTTAATTCGTTTTGTTAGTTATGATAAGACCTTACCTGCGGACTTGATGGAGTGACCTGATGGTGTACTTCGGTGACTGCTACTGGAACTCCTCGACGAGTAGTACTCGGTGTACATACCTAGTTTGGACTCGTTTTGTTAGTTATGATACGACTACCTCCTCCTCCGGACCTCCGGAGTTGATGGAGGGATTTGATGGTGTACTTCGGTGACTGCTACTGGAACTCCTGGACCAGTAGAATAAGGTGTGCTGAGTTTAGGCTCGTTTTGTTAGTTATGATGAGACCTTACTTTAAGACTTGATGAAGTGACCCTAAGGTGTACTTCGGTGACTGCTGCTGGAACTCCTCGACGAGTAGAACTAGGTATGCTGAGTTTGGGCTCGATTTGTTAGTTATGATGAGACCTTACCTCGGGAATGATGGAGTGACCTGAAGCACTCTTCCAGGCTGGAGAGAATTTAGAGGAAGAGACAAATGCATTAAGTAAATAGGTGATAATTGAAGTGATAACATCAAGAAGAGGTACGATCATATTACGGCTAATGTTGTAGCTAACCGACAGCATTTGAGGAGATGTATAATATGATCTTCTTAACATCATATACAGTAAACTGACTAAAACAAACGGAGGATAATAAGGAGTCGGAGTTACATAAAGAGAACGAAATGTTTGCAGTTTATGTTCACTATCAAAAGAGTTAGAAGGATTAGAAAAATGTTAATTTAATAGTTTAACATCAACACTAGGAGGTGAAGCGTTTAGGGATGTTCTACCAACTCCAACAGTTTTAAGAAACTTCCACACCCTAGATGAGTCGCCGTTCTTGACTGATATATGAATATGGCGTCGTTGTGCATCTCTACATAATGTGTTGCAGTGATTCCTGATTTTGGCGTATCTCCTTAGGTTTTCCTCTGTTTTATTCTTCTTAAGCTTTGACAATGCGCATTCTTCTTCAAAATTAGCTTTTTGAGATCATCAGAGAGCCATGGAACAGGTAAGTGTTTGAGTCTCTCATAATGCATTGGCGCGTAAACGTCATAAAGCTGAGTGAGTAGAGAACAGAAAAGTTTCACTTTATCGTCAATGCATGGTGCTCTCTCAATTTCTCAATTACTGACCAGTCAATATTATGAGCATCTTCACAAAGTTGGTGAATATCCATTCCTCCAAAATTACGTCGCAGAACTAATTGAGGTTTGATTTTAGCAGGGCGTAGTTTATACAAAAGGAAAATTAAATCGTGATAAGAGAATGCATCAGCAGGACACTGTCCGTGCTTGAAAACTAGATTTGAAGATGACAACATTATTAAGTCAAGATCCCATCTTGACTTCATAATGTTGTCATCTTCAAATGTAGGTATACTGTACTGTTAGGAAAGTTATGAGTAGCAGAAAGGTCAAGGATTTGCATATTACACGCTTATTTAGACTCAAGTTTTATAGCCCGATTGTCGCCTTTAAACAAATAGGTGTTAGTCACCCATCACAATAGTGTGACTATACGTAGGGACTAGTGATTTTAAAAGAGATTCGAAAGACGTAAAATAGTTTATAGAAAGAGAGGGACTGTAGAGATCTCCAAGTAGGATTTTATTCTGAGACAGGGAGACCTCAACTAGCAAATGCTCGATTTGACTTGATTTGATTTGACGAACTAACAATTTTAAATGGAAAGTATGATCTAAGATAGATCGCACTATTCGTGCGATCATTTCTAATTAGATAAAATCCAGGCAAATAGTAAGAATTAGAAGGCAAACAAGGTTTTAGCGAAGATTCTGAAACAAAAGTGGCGTGAATATTTCGGAATTCAAATGACGTAAGCATGTCAGTGTAATGAGCCGGAATGCTTTGGGCGTTAATAGCATTGAAGTTATTCACACAGTCTGAGAAACAAGAATTTAAGGTGATGTTGAGTGAAGCAGAAGCAACTGTACTGTGATAACTAACATCGCTAAGTGTCTCATCATCCGCGGACAACAACAGAAAAAAAATCACTATCGTTACAAATGTTTAAGGATATCCTAAATTCTATTTTAAAATATACAAATAAATTCTTATATAATAAACTAAAAAATGTTCAAATATAACACTAATATATAATAATAATAATTTAAATGGGTGATGAAGAATAATAGACTTAAAATAATATATTCACATCATTTTTTTTAAATACTAGTAATGCTATTAAACATTACTAATATTCCCTTTAACCACTTCTGGTAAGCTTAAAATGCTTGTGTTAGAAGTGGTTCACGCCAGTAGTCGAATGGCGGATTCGTATCCACGACCTATTGAGTTCGCGGTCCGCGCCTTGCCATTAGGCTACTGACGCTTTCGCATAAAAAATAAAATATAAATGCAAGATCGAACGCATATAAAGTAGAAGAGAACGTAAAGAGAAAGCATATCACAAAACAACAACTTAAAGAAATAAAACAATCAGTTTAATATTAAAATTCACAAAAATTTGCAGTGTGACGCCAATAAATTGTAGGACAATTTGAAACTATAAACGTCAGACAAGACAGTATGGGTTAACATGCCTTTGCCAAGGTAATAAAATAAAAAAAGAACTAAGAATGGTGAAGTGAATATTGATAAGTTTTAATCACAAATTCTCATAGATAAGAGTGTATATACGGAAAATTCTATATAGTTTGTGATCACAATTCACAACATTGTAAATTTTGTGGCATCAGGTACCCTGAACCTGAATCACAGAGTACTTTTTTTAACCTGAATTGAATACCTTATTTGGAGGAGCCCTGTGCAAATGGACTAAATTGTCATATATTTTTATTTGTATATTATTTATAAATCCTTCCAACTTCATATAGTCAAGTCAATATGAAATTGTTTATACAACCAAATATCATTTACAATCTACTAATTACAACATGAAACCACGTATATTTAGGTTTCAAGCAAATACCACATTTTACTGAAGCAAAGTAAGTAGAATTAAATATTTAAAAATTGGAACTGTTTAGCCTATAATGATTTGGTTATAAATTACCTGTTTCTGAATTTTTATTACAGTCAAAATGTATTCACCGCGCCAAAAAGTTTTGTGGTTTGCTTTATGTACAAGAATTTCTGTGATATTACTACAAGTGATATCGAACGCTTTAATACCTGATCATGATGCAAATGTTTTTCTCAGTCCCGAAGATCCAACACTGCAAAAAGCCACAGCAGACATCATCATTGATAAGTTATTAGGTGGTATGAAAAGATGGGATTCTCAATATTTTATTCATATAGCACAATATGGATATACTTATGAAAATTGTTTAGCTTTTTTTCCATTATTCCCTTTGATAGTTAGGTATATTGCATACATATTAAGCAGTATTTTAGGATCAATTTTTAACTTTCATAGTTTATTATTAATATCTGCAACAATTATTAATTTATTATTATTTTTAAAATCAGCTGATATACTGCACAGTTTGAGCCTACGAGTTTTAAGGAATGAATGTAACGCTTATAAGTCTGCCATATTATATTGTGTTAACCCCGCAAGCATATTTTTCACTGCTCCATATTCTGAAACATTGTTTGCTTTAATGTCTTTCTATACTATGTTTAAATGCACTGAAAGTGAGTCAATGAGATTTGCTAATATTGATATGACTAGTGCACTACCTGCTGGTTTCTCCATGATCACTCGATCAAATGGTTTGGTCAACCTGGGTTTCATATTTTACACAAGTTTTAAAAATGTGATAGAGAGAACTTTGCCTGAAATTGTTTATAAATATAAGACTCTAAAGCAAAGGGTAATGCTTCCATTCTTGTTATTGCCTTTGTTTACCTGTAGTGTGGCATTATTTATAACCATTATTGTAGCTCTGATCCCTTTTATGCTTGTTCAATTATATAACTATTTTAAATTTTGTATTCATAATGAACATAACTTGCCAGAGTTTTTATCCAATTATGAATACATCTTACCAGGTTCTGCTGCAAGTCCTTGGTGCAACAACTCAATTCCTCTGTCATATTCATATATACAAAGCCATTATTGGGATGTTGGGTTTTTTAAATATTATAGATTAAAGCAGATACCAAATTTTGTATTAGCTTCACCAATTTTGTTTTTAATTCTGTATCATTGCTTATGTTTTGTTAAAAACAATCTTAGGCTATGTGTAAGACTAGGATTAAAGGACAGCATTTTTGTTTATGGATATTTAAATAAAATGCCTTATCGGCCAAAACAATATTCTAAGGGATTTGGGGCCAATGATCCCAATATGTTTGTGTATGTAATTCATGCAATGTTTCTTAGTATATTTTGTATTATTTTTGTGCATATTCAAGTTTCAACAAGGCTTCTAGCATCGAGCAGCCCCATCCTTTACTGGATATGTTCAACTAGAATAAATGTTGGACCTACGCAAACTTCAGACCAGAATGCTATAAATGAACATTTCAGACGTGTCAGTACAGGCAAGAGAATACCAACTCACCATTTATCGATTGCTAACTTGGAAGGAGTTGAAAATATGTATAGTAAATGGAGAACATTTATAATATCAAAACAAATGCCTGATTTTCAGTCAAGATTTATACAGTGTTATTTTATTGGGTATTTAGTGGTAGGAACTGTCCTTTTTTCTAATTTTTACCCTTGGACATGATTTTAAATTTAACAATATTGTAATCAGACATATCACATTTTCTAAGTTATGAATTTATACCAGTATTAATACAACAGTCATATCATGCCTAAAAAGTTTGTGGGTTTGGGCTGTGATTTATGAATTTCTCTTTTAAATTTTTTCCATTTATAAAAAAATTGTTTAAGTAGGTACATAAAACTTTGTTTTAAAGAGAATAATTTTGACGAGCGGTCAATTTTATCAAATAATATACATGTATGTAATGAAGTGTGGTAGACATGATAAAAGAGAATTAATCGTTATCCATCTCATCTCATTTCTTGAAAGTTTTAAAAGATAAGAAAGAAGTCTAATAAAAATTGGGCGAAATATTTTGTGGTCTCTGATAATGGCAGTATAACCTTCGGTGTTCAATAATGTCTTCCAGACTGAATTTTGATGACGGCTGCGAGTCTCAATGGAGACTAGTCATCTGCGAAGGACATTAATATAGTACATAAGTGTGTGCAAGTAAAGGTAGATGTTATTTCCTCATTCTTATAGATTGATTTGATGGATCCCTCTTCAGATAAAGATCAGAGAGAGATCACATGCACACTGACCTATACATAGGACCGACATGCTATTATCAGCACAGCAGCACAGTGGTGTACAAGGCACGGGGTTGAAACAACCCCAACATCCTGATTAGAGGCTGCTACTGAGAATTTCTTGATAGATAAACCCAACTGATTTTAAAACGGGACCACGTGATCTGTAGTTGTGTTAACAACTACTACCCATGAGACAGATGCTATATTTTCAGGACACAAAGAAATGACAGAGTCATGCAATTGCTAACCTGCCTGCAAAGCACGGCGAAAAAATAAAATCCTGCCACATGTTTAACATTGGACGGTGAGTAGGTTAACAGAGAGGGATTATCGGAAAGTAATGTTAAAAAGGCTAGGAATATAAAATTATTTCAATCAGTAAAGAAATTGAGGACGCGTCTTGATTATAGTATCTTATTACAAAATATGGTTTATTGATAGTCTCTGGTTGAAACAAGAGACTGTCACATAAGAATCCCTTAGCTGCGGCGTCAGTTTTCGAAAAATTTTACATTTGCTCAAATTGCATTTTAGTTCGCATATTTCCCACGGGCCACTTCTTATTGCAACAGACTAGTGTAAACCTGAGATTGAAATATAAACTACTTTTTGTAATATGATGAATAATGGTCATACTATTGACAATTGATGCACACTTGTTGATGTACCTAAATACTATCATATTCGAATATTATAATGAAAAAGATTATCAGCTATTAGGTCATATTTTCAGGGTAGTACAAGCGTAGTGTGCTTATATTGTAAACCATGGGGCCTTTACTGATATTAAATTATTGTATTGATTATATTAATATAATTAGCAAATTTTTTGTGAATATTAATATTAATATTGCTATATTTAAGCGAGTCTTTTTATATAAATTTTATAATTATTAGTACTTGCCATTTTGTATTTATAAGCACATTATTATTTGATCGTAGTTCGACAGATGGAATGATTTTTCAGGGATAATAATATCCCAAGAAATGAACTAAAACAGAAACAAGACATGACAGGGTTAGCGAACTGTTTGTGTGTGTAAAATTTGGTGACCCTGCAGTACTTCTGTTCTATTCTATTATACTGTATTTACCAAAAACTTAAAAATATGTCTCTATTATAGAATTATTTAGTGTTATGCAACTGATCTCGGAGATATAAGTTATTTTCAAAAGTAAAACAACCTAGTCCTTTTAATGCTTTAGAATATTTAACCTACGGTTTTGATTACAAATTAATTGTAAGTACTTTTAAAAATACATTGCTATATAGAATGACCCGTTTCATAATTTTGTATTGGTATATTATATGGTACAGCAAAAAACCGAAGTTTAACCAACTGCAATGTGGCTATACCTGTTGTTGCCGGCTAACCCTAGTTGTAATCGCACTTTGGCTTTAGCCGTTGCACATATATTATACTACACTTCTACCGAGTCGACTCTGTCTTTACTTCGGTTTTTAGTCACGTTTGTTCGGTATATTTTATATAGTGTAAATTAAAAAATATCAATATCTTGACCACAGTGCCATCTACCGGGTCCAGATTTTGGGATTTTCTGTTTTTGGCACTAAACTAACTTAAAATGTCGTGATTGTGAGTCATTTTGGTCCTTAAATATAGTTAGCTAATAACTCGATTAAAGCGCCATCTGGATCCTAGCATAGCTATGGACCGTCGTCTTGACAAAACAAATATATTTTGTGAATATGACCTCAATCAGTCAAGTCATTTAGTAGTTACACGATCACAACACCAATGATTAATATAAATAAAGATATATTAGTCGTTTATATAGAGATAAATTAGTCGTAATTTTCAAATTAATATTGTCTTTTTTAATTGAACATGTTACAGATTGCTTATACAGTACACGTAAATAGCTTTCTTTATAGTTAACGATAGTAGCGTAATCATTATGGGTATGAAGTATGAACTGCAATATAAAAAGTCCTCGCCTCCGAATCCGCCGTTTGACTATGTCAATGATCATTTTCAGCTTAGTTGGAAGAGGCTATCAGGAATTGTAGTAATGTTAATAGTGATGCTAGTATTTTTATTGGACGATCTCATTTAAGTATATTCACGGACACACTAGTGAAATTACAAAAAATTAAGTTTTATGAAACTTATTTTTTGTAATTTCATACGTTTACGGCGACCAAGTACTGTCAAGCGGTTATAAAAAAATGCCTTAAAAAACAAAAGATTTTCCACATTCTTAACAACCATTTTAAAAAGAAAAGATTGTTTAGTCAGCATCTACGCATATATGCTATGGACAGGTAAATCGTGAGTATTTCTTGAAAGGGAAGTAAGTGAACGCGAGAATGTTAAGACCGTGTCCACGATTTGTACGCTAGGCCTTATTAGTCTATTTTTATCTCATGAATTTAATGATACGCATCTTTGCACTTAAATGAATATAGAATATTGCACTATGGAAGGAAGAAGGTATGCAACTGTCCTTTGTAACAATATTTCAATCGATGATGACAAAGTTTCCGATGGAATACTTAAAAATATTGAATAAATTAAAATAGAAAAACAATTACAATAGAACAATTTAGCACAACCCTTCCCACCACAAAGAAAATTCTACATTTTAGTCAAAATTGTTATTAATAAAATTGTGGTTGTGAAATTTTATCTATTATAACATTAATATTGCTGCCCAACTAATGCTTGTAGTTTATATGTAGTTATTATTTACTATTAAATAAAATAAAAACTAAGTAGAAAATAGTTTTATTATTAATGCACTCCCTTCACTTTATGAAGTACAAAAAACTTACAAACATATCCTGCAAGATTTTTACAAAACCTCTATATACGATCTCATAATTTGTTGATAAATTAAGTTTACAATATTTAATTCTTATTGAGTAGGAATATTGCTTCATCTTGATTAACATCAATCGACTGGATCATTCACTGTTGAATCCGGTTGCAAACCAAGTAAATCTTCTGTAGAATCTGGTATCTGTGGTTGTTCTGCATTAGGTTCAACCAGTGCGGCGGCGGAGGTCCCTGGAGACCTTTCCCCGTCGCTAGCGTATTCCTATGCGACAGTCAACGCTTCTCGTAGTCTCTGTCGAGCGCGCTTTACTCGGTCCTCTTGTCTTCTAACATCATCCTTAGTTATTGTCACGGCTGCAATAAGTGGCTGCTCGGGATTTAAAAAAACGCCGGGGTTCTCCATTATTGTCTGTTTGGGTCCAGTTTGGCCTAAAAATAAATTTCAAGAAATAATTTCATAATGCTTAACCGATTCGTTGCGGCACCAATTTTCGACAACTTTTAGCTGTGGCGGCGAACAAATATTTCATGACACGCCGGGAGTGTCAAGCGCCACGTATAAATCCGCCATGTATAAAAGTAATGTTCTTTTTTATGTTTTTTTTATTTGTTTAGGCCTAGTTAAGTTTATTTGACATCAAACATAAGTTACAAATCGACGGATACTTGTTTTTAGTGGGTAACCACGTGTTTTTTTTACGCGTTTTCTTTGAAATTGAGAGTAAGTGACTTTTTTTATGAAGAGATTACAAACCTTTTGTACTATTTTTTGTTTTTATAAAAAAATCATTTATATAAGTAGGTACAGCTAAATCACCCTGGAAACCTTGGTTTTTATTAAATTAAATTTTCACCTAATAATAACATTTGTAAATATCAAACAATGAAGAACCTTAATTTGAAAAAAAAAGTATATCATTCATTGATATTTACAAATATAAAAGTAAAGTCGATCTGAAAACGTCTAATTAGTAAGAATAGCAAAACAAGTGTTTTCAAAAGGAAAAAAACGCCGGCGCTATACGGCGGCGGATTGACAAAAGACTATTTATTAGCGAACTTTTTTTATGCATGAATGGTTTCGAACTGTTTAAAGCAAAAATAAACCTTATACCACATCACAAGAGCACATGGTACTTCGTAGGTCTATTCGGCCATATGATAGTAATAAGACGGCAGTTCAACAATTTTAAGCAAAATTAAACAATAAGACTAAACGCATTGTTTTTTTTAACAGGAGACTTGTTTTCCAGAAATTTATTTACAACTTGAGTTTGTGAGCGATCGCAATGAGTGCTATTATTTGTTACTTATTAGACTATTTTTCCATAACATGATTTAAAACCCACAAAGTAAAAATAATACCATGTACGCGTTAAAAAAAGGTTGTCAACCCCTAAAAATTTCAAATTTTCAAAATATCCAGAAACGAAGCTGAATGCATGAACTACTCGCAAAATAATGACTATTTTGTTGTGGATAAATTTTCCAAAAAAGCTATTTGAGCGAGTTATAACGATTTAAAAAAAAGGCACGACTCGCGTGTCTTACGCCACACAAAAGTACTCGCACTGAACCGGTTAAGTAGGTATTATCAATAGGTAGTTATTGAATATACACTGTG